GGAGTAGAAATTCTTGACTAAAGCTATATTGAACTATAATAAATTCTAAGATTGCCCAAAAAAAATAAAATTCTAAGATGAAATTTTAGTGTTCTTTTTCTCTCAATTAGGTAGCAAAACAAGTTCATGGATCAACTTAAGTACCTTTGGATGCATAACTATACCAATTTAAGAACTTTCTCTAATTGCTTTAGAATCATTACATTAACTTAACATTCTGCAAACTTAACCCCCGTAATCCTTCATTATGCAACAACTGATTTCTTTCTAATTCGAAAATGTTAGTTTCCTTAATTTTACCTCTCATGCGTTTTTTTTTTTTTATGTCAGCACTTTTGTAATTAGAAAAAATTCAATTTTAATCCACAATCTTTAACTCCTGTGCAGTTTTAGTCCTTAAAATTTTTGCAAATGCAAATCTAGTCCTCAATGTTTAGCACGTATAGTTTTAGTCCTCAAAATTTTGACAAGAGCAAATCTGGTCTCCAATGTATCAAATTTAAAGTAGATTTAGAACATTTGAAAAAAAAAATTCAATTATTGATAGAATTCAGTCACATCTAGTCATGTCCGTTAAATTAAATTTCATAATAGGGTAAATTACATTTTACCCCCCTGTGGTTTACCCTTTTTTTACATAACCCCACTATGGTTTCAAAAGCTATACATAACCCCCTCATGGTTTGGATTAAAGTGTCAAAGTAACGGAAATAGTCACTCGTAACGGAACTTCTAAAAATGTCGAAATTACCCTTATAAATACATGACACATTAACCCCCTATGATTTTTATATTTTACCATATAACCCCCTTATGGTTTAATACTTTACCATATAACCCTCTTATGATTTTCAAAATATACACATAACCCCCCTTGGTTAATACATAAATTTCAACCTTACATAAGGGTATTTTTGACATTTTAGGTGACGCCGTTACGAGTGACTACTTCCGTTACTTTGACACTTTAATCCAAATCATAAGGGGGTTATGTATAGTTTTTGAAACCATAGGGGGGTTATGTGGAAAAACGCTAAACCACAGGGGGGTAAAGTGGAATTTGCCCTTCATAATAAGAACCCAAATAGTATCTAATTTGAACAACAAAATTTCCTGGACACTTCCTTCAGGTTTGATAACTGGAATTCTGTTGGACCACAATATCTAAAATTTCCTGAATCCTTGCGAAAGAATTTGGGACTCAACAAACTATTAAGAGTGGTGGATTTGATTAAAAGCGATGATTGAAACTGGCCTAGTGGAGGAAGAAACACTTGGGAGTTTAAGGAGTTTCAGGAATCTACCCGGCCCCAGTGGTTTACTACTTCAAGTCTTCAACACTTGCATATTGGTGATCATATCTATTGGGCTGCTTCTGAGTTTTCTACTCAATCGGCTATGAAGAAGCTCCATCACTCGGGAGGGGCAAAAACTATACTCCCAAGGGGCAAAAACTATACTCCCAAGTATGCTTTTGTACTTTGGATGCTAATTCAACAAAAATTAATTTTCAAACATTGTCTTATGAAGTGGGGTGACCCTAATTAGGGATGTACTCGAGTCAAGTCGAGTTCGAGTATTACTATACTCGTGCTTAACTCGACCTATATGTAACTAGGTTCGAGTTCGATCGAATCTAAAAATCGCAACTCGAGACTTGACTCGAGAAAATTCTTTTAAACTCGAGACTCAACTAATCAAACTTTTTAACTCGACTGGAAAAATGTGCACTTGTAAATTCAGTATAAATTATACTCATAACGGTCATTTTATAATTATAATACACATATATTATTTAAATTATATATATTAATTAAATATATCCGGCTCGACGAGTAGCTCGAGCCGAGCCACAAGTCGCAAATTCCTGATTTGAACTTGATTCAAAAGTATATTCGAGTAACTCGAGCCCCGGCTCAAACTCGATTTGACCGAGTTCAAGTCAAGTCGTTAACCGAGCTACTTGCAAGCTACTCAATAGTGGATCGGCTTGCTTACATCCCTAACCCTAATGACTTCCCTATTTGTCCTGCGCGATGAGCAGAATGAAACGCTAGCAGACATATTTTCTGTGCGTAGCTGTTCTCGATCTGTCTGGGACTCGGGGCAGGTGCAACCGTCCCTGACAAATTTCCTCTTCATCAACAGCGCGTAACTTCTTTTGTTCACCATGTAACTTTTTTTCCACAGGTTGTATTTTCACAACAGATAGTGGTGGGCCCCACACTTGACGCGGAAATCGAATTACCACTTGTTATCTGAGCCGCACATTTTTTTGAGGTCCAATCTGGACCATGAACCGTGCAGGGACGGTCATACTGATGACCGTCCCTGCCCCAAATCCATCTGTCTGGGATAAAGTACAGTACAGCAGCTGTGTCTATTGTATTGAAGCAGTGTCTATTCGAACCCTCGACGGTATTGTATACTTGATTATATATATACACTTCACGCCCGGGATACTGTGTGTTTCTGCTGGAAATTGTGCACACAGTAGGTATGGATACTGCACTAGTTTTACGTAAAACAGGAACTTTGTTTTTTCTTTTCTTTTTTTTTTTTTTTTACTTTTTTAGGAAAAATTGTAACTTTTATTGATATGTGATAGGAGTGGCGGAGTCAGAAAAAATTATCAGTAAGGACAAAAATAATACTAAAATTTTTTACCTATTTTTTTCTAATTTTTTAAGCAAAAAAATATTCACCAACAAGTATAAATGAAAAGGTTTTTTTTATCTTATTTCAAATGAAATTTTGTGATCCACATATTCTTTTAGAATATTAGTTCATGAACCAACTTAAAAGACTACATAATTCTTTCATTTCCTCAGTAAAAAAATTCCGAAAACACACTTAAATTTATATCAAAATTTTATGAGTACTATAAAAAAAATTAAGAGGGAGCAATGGGAGCCGTGCCCCAGTGTACCACCTTAAATCCGCCACTGCGTCACAGGTAAGTTTGTACAAGAGATAGAAGAATACCTCATTATGCATGTTAAACTTGCTACCACAAGAACCTGTATAAGGGACCATTACACTAACTAAACACTGTGAACAAGATATTTTTTCTTTTCCACTTTCAGACGTGCAGCCAAACTTTTTAATGTCAGCACCGACTTAACAAGGCATTTGGTCCCAGCTCAATAAATTTTAATCCCGCTTACTAACCAGCCTGAGGCATTATTGTACGGACTTGCTACTGGCAAGTTCCGATGCTCAATTCCCCCCCCCCCCCCAAAAGACTCAATAAATTTACTTTATTTTTTTTTAGTATAACAATTTTACAACTGGTGGTCCTGTAGGAGGGTAAGGGGATGAGAATGGACCGACTAAACTACTAAAAATTTGAAGGGAATTAAACTATTTTCAAAAACATTTCAAAAATTCCTGAATGGAAGAAGTTTCAAACCCGTTACCTACGCCCAAGAAGGACGATGGATTTTAGTGAACTAGCTTAATTGGTTAATAAATTTTAATCTCACTTACCTAACTGCCTGAGGCATTATTGTATGGACCAACTTTTAATTCTACTCCATTCGTCCCACTTTAATAGTCCGGTATTCTTTTTTTATCTGTCCCAAATTGTAGTCTACTTTTCAATTGAAGAATGTAGTTGTATTTTAATTTTTCTAAAATACCCTTATTCAATGTAAGTAGTTGTTACTATAAACCTAGCCTATTTAATGAGAGTTGATTTTTTTTTTTACCATCAATTCAAGTTCCCATAAAGTTGTACCATATTTAATGTGAGGGTATTTTAAGAAAATAGCAATCTAAATTTACTTTTGTAACAAAGTTAACTATTTTTTCTTAAACTATGTGAAAAAAGAAACAGAACTATCAAAATGGGACAGAGAAAGTACTATATAATGGCACTTGCCTCCGACCGAAACTCTATATGTTTTTTTGCCCCTTTATTTTGGGCCCCAGGTGAAATTATTATCTTATCTTGAATGTTACGTTGGCTTTAAAACCAAAAGCAGGTATGCTGTGTACGGTTTTCTTTCAAAATTAATTGACAATGAGTGAAATTATCCAACATCTTATTAATATAATTTAAAAAAATTTTGAAAATCAACGTGAGATATTTAGTCTTTTAACACCCTATCGCATGGAACTTGGCATTGAGGGGGCGCTTGAAACTGAAATGAGATGAAATGGGCTTATGGAACATTGCTAAGATTTATTGGCTTGGAGGTATAGGTAAACAAAGCCCTAAACACCCTGAAAACGTGTAGTAAAAAACCAAAACGGTTTCTGTACAAAATCAAGTAGATTTCGAGTTTTAACCGAGCAACCTCTTGAATAACAAGATTGAATTTGGATCATTTGCGCCTAACTAGTTGCATATCTTGAGAATAAATATTGTATGCATATGATCCCCACAAATGGAATCATCACAAGAATATTTCGAAATTCAATAATGTCATGGAATATTTTTTTTCCTTATTCTTTTCTTGGTCCATTTTTTTGGATAAATTACATTTTACTCCCCTGTGGTTTAGCCTTTTTTTTTTTACATAACCCCCTATGGTTTCAAAAGCTATACATAACCTCCTCATAGTTTGGATTAAAGTGTCAAAGTGACGGAAATAGTCATTTGTCACGGAACTTTTAAAAATTTCGAAATTGTCCTTATAAATACATGACACAAAAACCCCGTATGATTTTTATATTTTACCATATAACCCCCTTATAGTTCAATACTTTACCATATAACCCCCTTATGATTTTCAAAATATACACATAACCCCCCTTGGTTAATAAATAATTTTCAACTTTACACAAAGATATTTTTGATATTTTAGATGACTTCATTACGAATGATCATTCCCGTCACTTTAATACTTTAATCCAAATCAAGAGTAGGTTATGTATGACTTTTAAAACCATAGGGGGTTATGGAAAAAAGGCTAAATCACAGGGGGATAAAGTGAAATTTGCCCTTTTTTTTAACCTTTTGGAAAAGATATGCTAAATTTTTTTATGGTTAGCACTAGGGGAAAAAATAACCTTCAATTTCATTAATATAAACACAGGACGCAACCTCCATAAATGTGGTTGATCTTCGTAACGACAAAACAAGTACACGCATGCAACACATGAGAAATAATTACTGAAGAACATAAATCACATTCAATACAACTGTTCCTTCTGATCCAAAGAAACCTCCAAATTGTGTTTGTTATTTCTTGTTTGTCATCTAATCCTTCTTGGATGATACAGAAAGCACTCAAATCGAGGACCCTTGCCTTGAAGAAACATCAATACGGACCTTCATCCCCGTCAATGCAATCGTTATGGTACGATATGTAAATAATGTAATAGAAACGACCAGTTTTTGTAAGAGTCGCAGAGGTATTTCCTTGAACCGCCAGCACTTTTCCTCTACTTATATCGCAATCGTCATAACCATCAATCTCTACTTGGACCACAGCGCCTTGAGTAACTTTATACTGGAAAACTACAAAAGTAAACTAGTGAGTCTGTTGGCTTGAAGGTAATGAAAATCTTTCGTGAGAATCCTACGATGCCAAAAGAACTGTGCAAATATTATCAAATCAATGACCTGAAAAAAAAAATGTGGACGACAAGATGCAAAGAGGAAAAATAAAACCACTCGACATCAATGTTGCATAGCATACTTGTGACGGCCTAGGGCTCTGTTTGAATGTGATCTTGTTGGGCGTTTTCAAAAGAACAATTTAATTTTAATGGTAAAAATAATGATAAGAGAAATGTTTGACCTCCCAAAAAATTTTAAAAATTTTGAATCATTCAATTATACTCGAATTCTCATTTTTGTCCCTAAATTTTTAAATGAAACACTTTAATCTCTAAAGTATAATGACTACCTCACTTTGGTCTCTAAAGTATAATATGTGTCCCGCTTCAGTTCTAATTAAGTATTAAATTTTTGTATGTTATTCTCTCTAAAATATAAAATATGTCCTACTTAAATATCAAATTTGTCTCATTTTCGCCAAGAATTTTAATTAAGTGGGACAAATATTACATTTAGTGACTAAAACATTCCATTTAAACCCTTGAAAGTATTACCACTACAGGGTCAACTCCTTGTTGAAAATCCAGCTGAAATTCACTCCCCGGGGCTGCAATTTCTTGGCTCGCTCATCAGCTCGTTCTTGAAACTTCCTAATCCTATGCGGTAGTCCACAAACAAAGTCCTGTGCACGCCGCGCCTCACCCGCCAATCCTTGGATCTTCTCCAAATTCCACTGTCCAATGAAGAACTCGAGAATGTTAGCATAATCATCGGCCGTATAAACTCCAATCCGCTGTGCCACGGCTGCAAAGTGTTCGAACAGATCAGGGTCCTGCCCATCATGCATCAAATGAGCTGGCATTGTGATTTTCTTCTTCATCATCTCTGATATGGCCAGCATGGCCCCATTGGGGTCGATTTCCAGTAGCTTTTCAACAATCCTAGCGTAGGCAATCTCATGGCGCTTCTCATCGGCGGCGATGGTCCCGCAAATGCGCGCAAGCACCGGATCACCTCCTTCCTTGGCTAGCCTAGCTGTGTTGCCGTGTGTCACGAATGTGGCTCTTTCTTGAAAAGATGTGTATACAAATCCTAAATACGGGTTACGGTCTGTTCCAACATCCTGTGAATTCACAACAAATGTTAGAAATGAAATGCAGAATTGCTAATGCGTGATGATGTGGAAGAGAAAAAAGAAAGTGTTCGGAGATAGATTCAAGTTTTAATTTTTTTGACAATGATGAAAAAATTTTATAAAAATATTTAAATGCAGGAGGGCAATAAACATGATACTTCGTCCGTCCTACTTTGATAGTCTTGTTTTCCTTTTTCGTCTGTCCCAAATTATAGTCCTTTTCAATTGAAGAATGTAGTTGTATTTTAATTTTCCTGAAATACTCTTATTTAATGTAAGTTGTTGTTACTATAAACCTACCCCATTTAATGAGAGTTGATTCTTTTTTTACCATTAATTCAAATTCTCGTAAAACTGTACTCTATTTAATGTGAGGGTATTTTAGGAAAATAGCAATATAAATTTACTTTTTCAACAAAATTAACTACTTTTTCTTAAACTGTGTGAAAAAATAAACAGGACTATCAAAGTGGGACGGAGGGAGTATATGAGTGTGTGTACTGGTGGAATCAGCTTGGCATTTAAGAGGGTGGGGGCAAGATTTATGAAGATGTATATTTAAGGGGCACATTTAAATTTTGATAAGAAAAAATTTGTTGGACAGTTAAAATATTTGTAGGACAAAACTTACACAAGTTTTGTTTTAAACAATGGGTTAAACAATACCACCAGCAGATTTTTTTTTTTTTCTTTTGAAAGAACCACCAACAGAATATTTGGAAAAAAAAATCCGATTTTCAACATGCAAAAATCCAAATGAAGAACTCACCGCTCCAGCACCGATTAGGTATTGCACAGTCCTGTCAATCATCAGCATGTCAACTCTACCAGAGAGGTACAAGTAAGTCTTGAGCAAATCACCATGCCTATGTTCTTCAGCCGTCCATGCCCGAGTCCAAACAGCCCATGGACTTGAGCTCGCACCAGTCTCATCACGAACCCCTTCATGAGTATTCATCCACGACTGGTATGTTGGTAGTGCATCCTCAGTGATCATGTCACCAACCAGCACCACAAAATACTCATCTGGAAGTCCAGCTGTTCTTTCTTGTAGGGCCCCGACCCGATCGGAGAATTCGTCGGCAGAAAGCTTTGCCGGGTCCGGGAGGAATTCTATGGGTTGCCAGCATTGGTTCACTGGCTTGATGAGTGGGAGGAGTCTTTGGGTGGCCCAATGTTCTAGTGACTTGAAGATTTCTGCTTTTTCTGGTGGCATGTAACGGCTAGCCTGAAAATGCTTTGCGGGTTTTGGTGGGGCTGCCCTGGCACGGACCGGTGGTTGCTTGAATGTGGTGGCGAGGGCGGTGCCAATTGGAGTCCATGCGACGGTGTTGGCGGTGATGCTGTGGAAGGGTCCCAAGGTCTGCATGGCTAGAGGTAATTTTGGGACGGGCTTAACTAATGAAATCAATAAATAGTTATTCTGTGCCAGCAAGACCTTGCACGTGAGTGGTGGATAGAAGGGCAATCGGAGGGGATTGAACCACCATCGGATTATACGAATGCACCATTTACCAGTTCCAATTTTTTATTAAGCAAATCACTTTAATATAACAAATGTGTATAGGTAAGATTTGAATCCTTGGTTTTCTATCCCATCAAATTTTAATGCATTGACGGTGACTGTATAGGTAAGATTTGAATCTTTGGTTTTCTATCCCATCAAATTTTAATGCATTGACGGTGACGATCAGTGCAAAGACTGGTGGAAAACGTGCGGGGTCAGGTTCAGACACTGACTCGTCGATTTATGGGGAATTGGTCACCTCCAGTGCTGATAAGTTTTGGGTCGTGATTGTCCATCTCCGATTTGCCGAGCGATAAAATCTCTTAGATTTACCAGCCATGTGAGTTGGTTTGGCTATTCATTTTGACGAATGAAAGATCGACCCCTCAATCGCAGGGAGTATCGTAACGGAGACAGGACAAGAACGGTCATCAAAAAGATCATTTCTGAACGGTTCACGATTAGAATTTGATTCAAAAAAAATTGTACAGTTCAAATCACTTTTTATATTTCATTTTTAACAAATATGTGTGAAACTCATAAAAATTTATTCTAAAATTATATATTATGTAAATAAAATTACGCCGCGTGCAAAATACACAAAATAATCGCTAGGAACCGTTCCTAACTACTGGGGAACGAGAAGGATGGGACAGTACAACAAAAGCCAAGGAGCAATCTTTTCGAAGACGGCGGATATACCACAGCGACACTCCATAACGCTTAATGCAGCTGCCTAAACATCGTTATGAAGAAATAAAGAAGATTAAACGGCTGGCATAATTTGTTAATTCTCAGAAGCATAAATCCAAATTATGCAGATTCAGTCTATTCATGCCACGTCGCCATGTATTTTTTCACTTGCAAATTATCTTTGATAAGATAGATTTTTAGTATTACTGCATTAGTTGTTTAGAAAAGCGAAATTGAATCAAGTATGTAAAAGCAAAATAGAGTCAACAAATATAAGTATGTGCAATAAAATGGTAAGTTAAACAAACATATACTAGATGCACTAAAGTCGGACCGTTATAAAAGACTTTACTATCTATCATATATAAAAGAGCCTTGAACGATTTCTATACCATTTATTAAAGTGCTTGAAATGATTTACCAATGGATGTTTCTTACTCTTTTGATTTGCCTAATATGCCCAAAATTATATAAATATTAGTTTTTTGAGTGTAAAATTGAGTATCATGGACAACAAAGACAATTTGCTACATATAGAGGTTCATAATTTGACTACAATTTGAACTTTATTAGTCTCCTCCTCCTTGTATTTCTCTTTTTATTTTTTGTCCTATTGAACGAATTCAATGGACTTGTATTCAAATACTAATATTGACTAATACAAATTCTTACTGTTTTATATGTCCAAAATTATATACATGTTAGCTTGATTGTAAAATTGAGTATGACAAACAACTAAAACAATTTGCCTACACATTAAGGTTTGTAATTTGGTTACAAGAACTTTGTTGGCCTCCTCCTCCTTGTATTGCTCTTTTTCTTTTGTGTCCCATGCATGGAACGAATTCAATGGACATTTATTCAAATACTAATACTGATACTAATACAAATTCTTACTCTTTTGATTTGCCTAATATGCCTAATTGAGTTTATACATAATTCTTACTCCTATGTTCGGTAAGTAGTCTCTTAATTTGAAAATAGTCTTTTAATTTGTGTCTTTATATATGTTTCAAGAAGTTATTGAGAAAGGACAGTTGCTAGCAATAATGCGCATTAGATACCCTGATTATTATGACTATCGGAATTAATGATGCATATGTGCAAAATTGCAAACCTTTGTGGATAGTGATTCCATGAAATCTTTAGGTGAAAATAGAAATCAGGTAAGTGATAGTTGGGAAAAAATATAATATGTACTCTTCATACATAATATATTTTCTTTTTCTCTTTGTTTTCAAAAAATATTGTCATTGGGAAAAATCAAGGTCCAGTTGCCAACATCTTCATCTCGACAATTGTTAGGCTCCGATCCCCTTCAAATGAGCTCCTTATCCATTTCTATGGTTTTTACCTTAATTTCTATTTATTTTAATTCTTTAATGATTTTTCTTTTTTTGATTTTTTCATATTTTGTTTTGGGTTTTTCTCCCTTTTTTGTTTTGATTAATTGTGTTGTGTTACTTGAAGATAATGATTCAGTAAAGATCAAATTTTTCCTCCGAAGCGGATTTTTTTTTAATTTCCTAATGATGATTATATTGTCAATCTATAGTGTTATTCATTTAGATACATCAGATTTTAATAGATGAATTCTAAAGAATTATTTCGTTTTTGTTGTGACAATTTTAGATCCCATTTTACTATACTAAAGAATTATTTCTTTTTTTTTTTTGGTAACAATTTTAGTCCCATTTTACCACAAAAGAGAGGAAACTTTTAATGAAAATAAATTTGGGATGTTAAATTTAGAACATGATAAGACGGAAGTCTAATGATTCTTTTAGTGAAGGATGTAGGAGAGATATTTCGGAGGTATTAGTCTGTGTGTGCTTATTAGTGTGAGATCAATGGAGTCTATTTTGTTAATGATTTGATGTTAATTACTCTTTTGTTATAATGAATAAGTTCCATAAAAAAAAAGAGGATATCTTGGCTCTAGAGCCAGCATCCCAGGGTGCCAATCGACCCTAATTTGCACATCTTATTAGTGTAAAACGATTTGTGCAGTAGCAATATACAATGTAAAAAAAAAAAAAATTACTATAGGTCCATTTCCAGCTTGGAGTATTAGTTATAATGCTCATGCAATTAGTCAATAGATCAGTACTGCCAGTGATCAATGTGCCTACATTTATGCATTTGTCGTTGTTAAGCTAAATTTTGTGTTAGTACTTGCTCAAAAATTCTAAACAAAAAATTCAGTTAGAAAAACACTAGGGTACGAAATACACTAAGGTACAAAGAAGGTAATAATAGTTAAGACCTCAACATTTAGCAAATAAAATTGATAACATGATATAGTAATTAAGTTCATTCCAAGTTAATTGCATAACACAATTTAGTTAAATCTAAAAAGTTCTAGCAAACATACAAAAAAATATCGTCTTCAGATCTTACTAATACCACTTAAGCAATAGCTTAATTACTTGAAATTAAAAAGATGTAAGGGATTAGGTGGTAGTCAATAGACTAGGTGGGTAAAGATGGAGATTGTAGCCAACTTAAAATGCAACTATTGTAGCGAACTTGAATGCAAATATTAGTTCACACAGCATAGAATGAGATATTTAGGTTGATTAACATCCTTGGATTGGGGTCTATATCTCAAATGGTTAGTAACTTACCCGTTTGTATTAAATTGAGTTGTTTTTATGTACTTTTTTCAAATGAAATATAGGCAAAATTATACACATACTCATTTTCAATAAGTCCTAATCAAGTTAACGAGCCAAGTGTTGTTTACAATTTGAAGTGATTTTTCATCATTTCGTTTTCAAATTAGTGGCTGTTACGGTACAACTAGAAAACGTGCCCAAAAAAAAGTACAATTAGTAAAGATCATTTCGTTTGCGTATTCAATATATTTTCTTTAAGGTGCAACTAAAAATATCTTAATCATAGTGGCTGCTAATTGATGTCTTGTTACCATTCATGGCTTGCATACTTTTAGCAATATATACTACATATGAATGGCCAAATCTATGTATGGTTTCAATCACTTTCGTTTTGACAAGATATTTCGTGCACGTATGTATGGTTGTTCATGAAACTGGCTCGCTAATTCCAATCTTTAAATAGAGTGTCCGGGCTTAATCACATTAGTCAAGATATTTAATTAAAATTACAAACATATGCTACTATTCCTCCTTTTTGAAACATTAGTTTGCTACCCGTCAACTCTTTTGATTGTTTAATTCCACTTTGTTTTTCTTTCTAACTTTGCTATATATATATATATATATATATATATATATATACATTCATATTACTATTTCACCAAGCATATTACCCTTTATTTAGCCAAATGGGGCACATGTTACAACGCAATTGTAATTCAAATAAATAAATTATATAAGTATACATAATTATATATATATTATTTATACATGGATCCAGGTAGGGTTTAGTTTAGATCTGAAATTAGATACGAATAATAAAAAATCAAACCCTATTTAAATCCATGTATGTGTGTGTAAGTAAATTGGATATAGATGCATATGAAACTTTGAAAATAGATAGACTAGTTGATAATAATTCTTCCTTTGAGTTCATAATATTGTATTCAATTTCTTGAATGTTAATTTTATTATTTGAAAACAAAAATTGAATGGTATTTATGTTATTTTTTAATTTTATATATTTTTAAAATATTTTTACTTTAGTTATTCACTGTATATTCAGAAAAATACTCACGGATACCTATTGGATTTCCAGATCCATGAGAGCCGGAGTCTGAGTTTACTTTTTCAGATCCATAAAGGTTAAGTTTCGGTCTGGATCTAACTAAATTTAATAAGTTTGAAACTAGATCAAAGCGATTTAATCCAAATTCTATTGCATGCCTAAATGCAAGGACAAGTCTATCATGATTTTCCTGATCTGACACCTAAGGAGAATAGTCCTGAATATTTTTCAATTATACTTTCATGATATTGCACATGAGTTTAAAAATAGAATGTGCATGATACCAAATGGAAAGTTAAATGAAGAGTGAAGAAGTTAATGAACATTTTGGAAGAAAAACCATACCTAAATTTTTTCAAAAGATTACAAGACTTTCTTTCAATATCTGATATTCGAGTCATGAAAGATGTCAATTTAAATTAACATGTTTATAATTGCCGAACTGCTGATCAAGTTAATGCAATGAGGGTTGAAGGAAATAATGCAAACATA